GGATAGAGTTCTGATGAGACACTCGCATTAAATGATCAAGAAAAATGATTGTTCAAGACGCGTCTTTATGACACGATTTGTTAAGAAAAATTGAATCAAATAAAAACTTCGTACAGAAACCCCATAAGTGTTCAGCTTTTGAAGATAGCCAGCATACCAAAGTCCATCAAATAGTTTCAAGATATCTAAATCCACAGATAGAATTTTGCTATTCTTATTTAAAACTTTACTAATACCCTCTACAATACCTGTTAACACATCGACGGTTGACCTAGAGAAGGGAAACACATATTCGTCTGAAAAAATTGCTTAATTAATCCGGCGTTAATGAGAATAAATATATATATATATATATATATATATATATATATATATATATATATATATATATATATATATATATATATATATATATATATATATATATATATATATAATATATAATATATATATATATATATATATATATATAATATAATATATATATATATATATAATATATATAATATAATATATACATATATAATATAATATATATATATAATATATATATATATATATATATATATATATATATATATATATATATATATATATATATATATATATATATATATATATATATTTAAAAACTAAAGCATTAGGAAATCAATTGACCGAAATCGCCTGAAGATACCGAAAGGCTGAAAAAAAAGGGAGAGGAATTGGCTGATCTGCCAATTATATATATATATATATATATATATATATATATATATATATATATATCGTGAAGAGGTTATAGTAATTCCAAAGAGAGAAAAGTGTGTTTATTAAAAAGAAGAGAGAAACCGCAAACGATTTTGGTTGCAATGTGGAGTTTTTATTATTCTTTATTTTCCACTAGCAGTAGAGCCCGGCGTTGCCCGGGGATGTAACAGTAAGAGATAGATCAAATATCGACCATCATAAAGACTGAAAAATAAAATTGACAAAGATTATTTGTTTAAGGTTGACGGACACGCATGTCTTAATTAGTTTTTTTTTTTTTACGAATTGGTCAAACCCAAACTCAAACAAAAACATTGTTTTCAATCGTTATGAGTCTATCGATTGGTGAATAGAATTTTATTATAAACAATTGTCTTGTAAATGGAATTTTTAAAGCATTCTGAATGTAAAAATAAAGAAGAAAGTGTGCAAGACAATAAGAAACACTACCTGCCAAAAAAAAGTGAAGTTTTGTTGAAATCGGCTGAAAAATGTAGGAAATCCGATCCCATATATAAACGAACACACACACACACACACACATACAAACAACCTGGATTTTAACCCGAAGTGAGTTGTCCCCCTTTCATTAATGCCTCTTAATCGTGTTTTCAAATTGATATCATGCAAAAACAATTGTGTTTTTCCAATTTTTGGTGCTGTTTGCTGTTAGAACCACCGCAAGGTAATTTTACGTAGTCCTGTGAAGTTTTGTTGAAATCGGTTGAAAAATGTAGAAAATCCGATCCAATATATAAACGTTACACACACACACACACACACACACACACACAATCTGCGTTTTATAATAAGTAAGATTTCTTGACTTCCATGACTTCTTTTTCATTCCGGAGGACTGCTGTCATCATCGTCCAACAGGCGTTTCCTGATTTGGTTCAAATGTCTCTTGGGAGTAAACTGGGGACCATTAATTATTTAAATCATATTTTCTACTCTTTTCTCAATTGTACCCATTTAGCATACAGATCGAAACATCCGGGAAAACTTTGGTACAGTGTTTGTTCGTCCAGGTTTTGTTTGTTTGGGGAGTAGCTTGTCAAACACAGACCTGATTTTACGCGGAAACATTACCTCGGCTGGAGGTAATGATGATGGTGCGTTGTCGTTAGGCGTAATTCTATACACGTGAAGGAACTATTTTAAGGCTTTTTTCTGTGGGTGTGTCCCTAGCCTTCTTTGGGGCTCTTTTCAGCGGATTAACGAAGCGCTCAGTCTGTCAGTTGGACCTTGGGTGATACAAGGCGATCGTGATATGATTGATATGGTAGGTCTCACAAAAATCTTTAAAGTCACCGGACGTAAATTGTGTTATATTGTCGAACACAAGACAGCCGACTACCCAAAATCTGGCGAAAAGTTCGTGGAGGAATTTGATTATAACTTCTGTAGTGGGTTTTCTACATCTAAGAACTTTGAGCCATTTAGAAAAACTATCTACTACTATGAGATCGTAAAATCCGTCTAGAGGACCTGCAAAATCTACATGTATACGGGACCATGGTCGGTCCGTTTTAGGCCAAGGACTATATTTGATGGGGGGGGGCTTAGCTGCCAAGGCACAGCCTTTGCAGGATTTTACGATGTTTTCGCTATCCTTGTCCATGTTCGGCCAGTACACATAACTGCGCATAAAGCTCTCTGGATGGCCGACTTGGAAATCTTTCAGAATTCTTCTTTGTAGCGTTGTGGGAATGACGACACGCTCATTATATAGCAGTACTCCGTCACACAGGGCGAAAATATCTGAAGTCTGTTGGTCCTTTTCATGAATTATGGTTTTGGTTTGCCTGATAAACTCATCGTTTAGAGCTTCTCGTTTGATTTCGTCGAGCGTTACAGAGAGTTCCCTGTGTTGCATAATGTGGTTTTAATTTCTCTTTCTGCTCGAAGAGAAGCAATCACAATATCTTCAAGACGTTCCCTGTTTTCTGAGATTAATCTTGATAGTCCGTCGGCATGACACAGTTTTTTAGACGGAAGGAACTCCATGGGGAAGTTGTAATTTAAGAGGATTATTCCCCATCTACATAGTCTATTTGCTGTAGGTACAGGCAGACCATTTTAGAAACGAAAATGGTAAGTAAGGGTTTATGGTCCATATGCAATATAAAGTATCTACCGTGAACGTACCGGTGAAAATAACCCCTAACGATTCCTTCTCAATTTGGGAGTAGTTCTTCATTGCAGGAAGAAGTGTTCTCGACGCGTGAGCAACTGGTCTGTGAGATCCATCTGGCATATTGTGCAGAATATATGCTCCAATGCCATACGAGCTGGCGTTGCTGGCAACTATAATATCCAGGTCTGAGTTATAGTGGGTGAGAAACAAGTCCGACATCAAGACTTCTTTTATTTTGACGAATGCTTCCTGGTATTCAGGTGCCCACTCCAAGTCCTTGTCTTTTTTCAGAAGTTCGTTTAGTGGACCACGTAACTTGTGTATATTATGTATAAACATTTGGTAATAGTTTGCCAATCCTAAAAAACTTTGTAATGAAGAGACGTTTTCGGGAGCTGGCATGTCCTTGATTGCGGTAGCCCGTTCTGGATCTGGCTTTCTGCCATCTTTGTCAATAATGTTCCCCAAGTATTTAATCTTCTCCATAAAGAAGTCGCATTTGGATTTTTTTCAATTTGAACCCGTACTCCTGAATTCTTAAGAAAACTTTATGATCATGTTCCTTCTACATTTTGGCTGTTTATTAATATGTCGTCCAAGTATGCAACAGTGAAGTCAAGACCGCTCAGCATAGCGTCCATTACTTGTTGGAAGATTGTCGGTGCGACCTTGATCTTGAAAGGTACAAACTTGTACAAACCACGATGGGTGTTGATACAGAGCAACTTTAAACATTCTTCCTCTACCAGTATTTGAATATATGCGTCACTGAGATTGATTTTTGAACAAAAATTTCCCTCCATTTAGTTTCGCGAATATCCTTATACCAATGTAGTAACCCACAACTGGAACACGGGTTAGGGAACAATTTGTCTTGTTTCTTTTTGGACTGGTTTGATTTAGAGGGAAAATTTTTCTTTTGGAGTAACTTTCTTATGTGTGCTATGCCAGATTCCTCGATGTTTTTCGAATCTTGGCGTACGCTTACGAATCTCTGACAGTCTTCCGCTATTTGTCGGAGAGTAAGGTTTGGCTCGTTTTCCAATTTGTTCAAAACTCTATGTCTAATTTCAGCGTCTTTAGATGGAACGAATCCCTGAACAAATATCAGACACTTGAAATTATTCGAACTCAATTCTGACAGTTTAAAATCGTCGCAATGCTTGTTCACGACCGACGCTTGGCATTCACACCGGAAGCTCCAATACGAACATCTCAGAGTATTTGGATCTCAGGACATTGCAGAGGATTCGGAAAGAGTTGGATGATATATCAAGTCAAAATTATGACGTTTGTAGTGATCACTAGTGATTGCGACGTGATGCCTCCATTCATCTTCCCAAACGGCCTCAGACTCAGAGACCTACATCGTGCCTTGAGCGAGTACTTCTGCCCTGGGCCAAGAAGGTGACTGCTAGAAGACCCTATCTCTGGCAACAATACTCTGCACCATGCCTCATAAACAGGAGGACCCAGTCATGGCTGCCAGACAAATTCTTCGACCACATCACCCCTTAGCTCTGGCTACCTAACTGCCCAGAATGCAACCCCCTTGATTATTATGGGTGGGGCGCAGTTGAGCGAGAGACCAAAAAAACTCCTTGTAACACTAAAGATGAACTGAAGGTAAGGACTACGGCAGTATTCACCAAATTAAAAAAAAAAGTGACCGTCCAGAAGTGTTACAGGAGATTCCGAAGTCTTCTGCAGGCCGTGGTTGAAGCCAATAGAGTTTGTTTGTTTTTTATTGAGTAAATTTACTCATTACTATTTCAAGATATTTTTATACAATTTTGGTAAATATATCTGTTAGAATGAGATGTCAGCGGTATTTTCCTTCTTGCGACAATTTATCCATCGCACCCTGTATGTATACACACATACACACACACACACACACACACATATATATATATATATATATATATATATATATATATATATATAATGTACAAAGACATACAAGCTGTTTTTCTGCTATAGAAGGGGGGGCATTTATAAGGAGACTAAAGACAATTTAAGTGGAAGCGACTATAGATGCTTTCATTTCCTTTACTTGCTGGTGTAGGATTTCGTATTGTGTTGGAAAGTTTTCTTTTTTCAGAATTACATCTCGTGTTCAGTTTGGAACTAAGGAGCATGACTGAAAAAATGCGAATGTGTCTAGAAATAGAATAGGGGGGGGAGGTGACGACAGGTATAGAAGAGGAAAAAAATGGCAGATGTAAGAACGTGAAAGAAACCTGGAAGGGATAAGTACTGAAAAGAAAGGAGATCGAAAACAAAGAAAACGAGAGAAAAGCAATGCGAAAAGCAGGGAAATAGAAATGAATAATGGATAGGGATAATAAATGGAAAGAAAGAAAGAAAGAAAGAAAGAAAGAAAGAAAGAATGGAAAAAGAAAGAAAGAAAGAAAGAAAGAATGGAAAATGAAGGAAAGGAAAAAGAAAGAAAGAATGGAAAATGAAGGAAAGGCAAAAGAAAGAAAGAATGGAAAATGAAGGGAAAGAAAGAAAGAAAGAAAGAAAGGAAAAAAGAAAGGAAAAGAACGAGAAAGAAAGAAAGAAAGAAAGAAAGAAAGAAAGAATGGAAAATGAAGGAAAGGAAAAAGAAAGGAAAAAAGAAAGGAAAAGAACGAGAAAGAAAGAAAGAAAGAAAGAAAGAAAGAAAGAAAGAAAGAAAGAATGGAAAATGAAAGAAAGAAAGAAAGAAAGAAAGAAAGAAAGAAAGAAAGAAAGAAAGAAAAAAAAAAAAAAAAGAAAGAAAAAAGAAAGAAATGAAAAGACAAACGAGAGAAATAAAGAGATACGGGAGAAGCAAGAAAGAAAAGAAAAGAAAGAAAGAAAGAATGGAAAATGAAAAAGAAAGAAAGAAAGAAAGAAAGAAAGAAAGAAAGAAAGAAAGAAAGAAAGAAAGAAAAAAGGAAAAGAAAAAGAAAGAAAGATGGTGGGCGGAAAAGACAAACGAGAAAATAAAGAGAAGGAAAGCAAGAAAGAAAGAAAGAAAGAAAGAATGGAAAATGAAAGAAAGAAAAGAAAGAAAAGAAAGAAAGAAAGAAAAGAAAGAAAGAAAGAAAGAAAGGAAAAGAAAAAAAGAAAGAAAGAAAGATGGGCGGAAAAGACAAACGAGAAATAAAGATACGGGAGAAGCAAAAAGAAAGAAAAGAAAGAACGAAAGAAAGAAAGAAAGAAAGAAAGAAAGAAAGAAAAAGAAAGAAAGGAAAAAGAAAGGAAAAGAAAAGAAAGAAAGAAAAAAAGAAAGAAAGAAAGAAAGAATGAAAAATGAAGGAAAGAAAAGAAAGAAAGAAAGAAAAGGAAAGAAAAAGAAAGGAAAAGAACGAAAAGAAAGAAAAGAAAGAAAGAAAGAAAGAAAGAAAGAAAGAAAGAAAGAATGGAAAATGAAAGAAAGAAAGAAAGAAAGAAAGAAAGAAAGAAAGAAAGAAAGAAAGAAAGGAAAAGAAAAAAAGAAAGAAAGAAAGAAAGATGGTGGGCGGAAAAGACAAACGAGAGAAATAAAGAGATACGGGAGAAGCAAGAAAGAAAGAAAGAAAGAAAGAATGGAAAATGAAAGAAAGAAAGAAAGAAAGAAAGAAAGAAAGAAAGAAAGAAAGAAAGAAAGAAAGAAACAAAGAAAAAAGGAAAAAAAAAAAGAAAGAAAGAAAGATGGTGGGGCGGAAAAAAAAATGAGAGAAATAAAGAGCATGGAGAAGCAAGAAAGAAAGAAAGAAAGAAAGAAAGAAAGAAAGAAAGAAAAAGAAAGAAAGAAAGAAAGAAAGAAAGAAAGATGGTGGGGCGGAAAGACAAACGAGAGAAATAAAGAGATACGGGAGAAGCAAGAAAAGAAAGAAAGAAAGAATGGAAAATGAAAGAAAGAAAGAAAGAAAGAAAGAAAGAAAGAAAGATGGTGGGCGGAAAAGACAAACGAGAGAAATAAAGAGATACGGGAGAAGCAAGAAAGAAAGAAAGAAAGAAAGAATGGAAAATGAAAGAAAGAAAGAAAGAAAGAAAGAAAGAAAGGAAAAGAAAAAAAGAAAGAAAGAAAGAAAGATGGTGGGCGGAAAAGACAAACGAGAGAAATAAAGAGATACGGGAGAAGCAAGAAAGAAAGAAAGAAAGAACGTGTCGCGCGGAGAAAAAAAAAGAAAAAGGAAGGAAAAGATTATGAAAGGAAGAAAGATATGAAAAAGAAACGAAGAAAGAAAACTTTGTAATGAGGCTATATTATAAAAAGACCTAATTAAAAATCATAAAAAAAGAAGAAAACGAATTGGTTAATGATAAGAAAGACTTGAAACATAAAAAGTAAGAGACTTGCAGAAATAATACGAAATAAATGAAAACGCTTGAAAGAAAACCGATAAATAAAAATGTATGACATTGAAAATGTCGATAAAATAAAATAAAAATAATATATTAACTTCCGGTGTTGATTGTTTAATAAAATTTGATTCATTTTTATACAGGACATCTTTGTTTTGTGTTTGGAATTAAAATACAACGAGTAGACAATTGAAAAATGCAATTGTTTAATGAACTCAATAAAAAGGAGAATTAATATTATTTAGCAAATGCAATCTTATCAATGTTTAGGAAGAAAATAAACAAATGCTTTCTAATACTTTTTTATTTTCCCTCATTTTCAAGGAGCATTTTGATTCCATTTTCTTTTCTGTATACTTTTGTCAGATTCTTCTTTTGCTTTCGTCTTCAACTTCTGCCAATCCTGGAGATATTTGGGGAATTATATTATCACTGGAAGTTCCCGACCAAAGATGTTTTTTTTTTTTTTGTTTTTTGTTTGTTTTTGTTTTTATAAAATTATGTCAATGTGTCAATCAGGATCAAATGGAAAAGGAGTAAAATCGATAAAAGAAATCGAATAATGAACATAAAAAGCTATAAGGTGGCGAAGTGGAACGAGGTCGGATGAAAATTTATAAAACCAAAATATGAAATTCTTGAATGTAAATAAATTTCAGGTGAATATAATTTTTTAGAATGAAAGAAAGTAGTAAATACAATAATGTTTTTGCAGGGGCTCAACATTTTATGGGATAAATGAAAAAAAGACTTATTAAAAATCATTCATAATAAAAAAAAAGGTGGGTAACACTAATATATATTAACATAAAATGATAATAGCAAAATATAATGATAAAAAACTTCTAAACCGGTTTATCGGTCCTCTTACATCAAAACAAAAATCAAAGAGGAAATATGCACACAGAAACTAGAAAAATGTCTAACTCCAGACTAAGGTTAATATATAACATTAAAGGCTAATTAGTTTTAAGCCTACCAAACACCATTTCCCTCTACAAAGGGATAGTTGGCGGGACTTAATATATACTGATTCCAAAACCTTCAAGTCATAATCGGTATTAGCTTCACTCATCACTGACAACATTTTTGTTATTTTAAGCGTATAGTGGCAGAAGAAAAGAAGAAATGACAGAGGTTTAAAGAAATAAACAAATGTATTTACGTAAAAATACAACAAATGATAAATTGGTGTAAATGCCTCTCGTTGAAAGAAAGGGATAAGTAAAATCATAAAAGTCGTCCGCCGAAGGGCACAGCAGGGGAAGGAGGGTGAGTTGTGACTTATTGCGGTGACGGCCTTTTGGCGAGTTGTCTTTGTAGATGGGAAGTTGCGTTCCGATGAGCGTTGAGAATCCTGGCTGTTGTGCTGGCCGACTCTGAAGGGAATGTCGTGTAAACGAGTCGAGGTAGAGCTGTTCTGTGAAGCAAATGTCGCTGGGGTCGACAGCGAAAGGAATGCCTTGTAAACGAGTCGAGGTAAGCCGGGATGACGGCGGTGTTGAGAGGCCAGTTTTGTGGACCGGAGGTGGCTGCGTCCACTGTGAAGGGAAAACCTTGTAAATGAGTCGAGGTAGAACTGTTTTGTGAAGCGAATGTCGCTGAGGTCGACAGCGAAGAGAATGCCTTGTAAACGAGTCGAGGTAGGATGAGCTGACGGCGGTGTTGAGAGGCCAGTTTTGTGGAACGGAGGTGGTTGCGTCGACTGTGAAGGGAAAGCCTTGTAAACGAGTCGAGGTAGAGCTGGTTTGTGAAGCGAATGTCGCTGGGGTCGACATCGAAGAGAATGCCTTGTAAATGAATTGTGAGGTGCAAGCCAGGAAGTGGTAAGGGTCGTTAAGATGTTCGGTCATGTTGAGTTGTGACGGTGAAGGCGGCAATTGTGGTGGTAGTATTGCATTGCGTGGTGGCCGGTTCGCAACTCTGTTGTCATGGTGACGAGGTCAGGGCGTCGGTTGTAGCTGCAGCCTCACCCTGCATGACGGCCGGTGGTCGCGCTGGGATGCAACTGTGAAGGTCATCCTCAGAGCCTTCTTTTAAGCAGGTCTGATACTCCCAAGTGGCGTCTCTTTTACCGAAGTGAACATTCGGGATGGGCCAACGCCGGAGTTTACTTTGCAGACCGGACGTGGTGCATGGAGTCTAATTCGCAGAAAACGACTTTGGTTATTTCGTTTTCTGCCTCCGAGGCGTTCACATCCGGCCAGCGTGCAGAATTAATCGGAATGAGTTCTAATTGCTACGGGGTATGACAATTACCTGTGCTATAAGACCGAGCACACTACTGGCTCTAATTAAATGTTCAGCTATCGCTGAATCGGATACATTAACGCACCTATGCAAATTTTCTACCTTTCCCTTGCGAATATCGAGTGAAACGTGTTGGTTGATCTGCGTCTCCAAATTTTGACCCGTTCTGCCAAAATAGCCAGCATCACACTGATATCTGATTTTGTAAATTACAGAACTAATCTGATAGATAAGCAGAACATTCTTCCGGGTCGGTGTCAACATGGGTTTTCGTATGAATCTCCTTTTAATGTGTCTGGTTTTTCTTGATCTGATAAATGCAATAAATATCATTTGGTTATGGCATAAAAAATATCGAAAGACATCAAAAGAGATTGGATAATTCATATTGAAGTTCGCCCCGGAATCAGAAAAATAGTCTGAAACGTAGTAGGATTAAATTTAAAAACAACTTAAACAAAGAACTTTCATTGATCTTCATTCAAGTCTGTGTAAATTCATGTCTGTTTAGATGACAACAAAGATCGTGTTTGGGTAAATAACAATCGATCAGTGTCATTTTGGAATATGACGTTTTAAAATCAAGCAGATCTTTTTAATCATAATAGTCGATATCAAGGATTAATGATGAATTGAATCAGTAGATTTATCTTTTGATTGTTTTCGTTATAATTACATCCAATCGCCAGAAGGTTTGACTGTAAATTCTATAAATTTTACCGTCAAGTTTCAGCAAGAGTGGGTGAAATTCTGCGAAATTCAGAGTAGTTGACAGAATAATCGAAATAATTTAATTCCCCCACACACAATATATATATATATATATATATATATATATATATATATATTGTGTATTTAGGCAGCAATCCTTCATTGATGCAGGTTTCATTAAAAACAACAGATAAGGTACTAAGATTAAGCTTTTTATTTAATTTTTCTTGTGTTCGAACAAGTCTCGTATACGCTAGTAAGTCGTTGCTTTGAAATTTTTCATGCAACAAAAACAGACTATCATTATTGTTTCGTCCGTGTATTGGTTGATATATTGTAATGTAATTGTCATCTTTGATAATGGCTTATGTAAGCCGAAAGCTTAGATTGGATTTAAACATGTATCAATATGGTGATTTCCTTTCGTCCTTCAATGACAATGTTATTAAGCTTATCAGACAATATGAAAGGAAATTACTTAAAATAAATAGACAAAACTTGTCTATATTATTTAATGAAACATGCATCAATATATATATATATATATATATATATATATATATATATATATATATATATATATATATATATATATATATATATATATATATATTGTGTGTGTGTGTAAATGTGAGCGTTTGTGTGTAGCCAAGGACACATGGTCCAGTGGATAAAAGCGTTAAAATGTCAAAAAGTGACTTGACCCAAAGTGATTTGAGTTCAATACCTGGCCACAGCAGAGGTGAACAAAATCTTGGAGAGTTAAGTTATTAAAGGGAAATAACTGAAACTGAAATATCCAAAAAAAGGTATGGCACGTGGAATTAGAACAATCTACTCCTGTGGACTAAATAAAGGCTTCAGTTCGAAATTCCAACATATATCACCTGACGAAAACTTGAGTATACAGCTGTCGAAACGTCGTGAATATGACAATTAAGATTAGGACAACAGTCCGAACGATGCGATATAAATTTGGGGGGATTTGAATAATCATTTATAGTAATTCATCGAGTCTAAAAGAATCCTCAACAAGATGTAGAAAGCACCGCACGGCCGTTACGTCCTATTTGGGACTCATCAGCAGCGGGCATACACTACCGAGAACAACGGAAGTGTCATACCACTGGACAAACGGGACTCGGTGGCGAAGAAGAAACAGACTAGACTAGATATGGCGCCGTTACTCACTAAATCCCTTAGTGGTACTCATCCAAGTATACGTAATCCACGTCTTCTTTCCCTAAGCCGCTCCCTCCAGGACATGAGAAGCTGGAGCATGCAAGAATATACAAAGGATAGAAATTTTTGCGGATTTGAATAATCATTTATAGTAATTCATCGAATCTAGAAGGATCTCAACAGAATGTAGAAATCAATCGGTAGTGGATGCGCACTGCTGGTGAGTCAAAAATACGAGGGTCATTCAATAAATAAGGTGAATTTTTCGCTATAAGGACTTCTAATACAGATAGAAGCTTACTTTTTTTATTTTTTGTTTTACTTCTTTTTCACATGGATTTAATTTCTTTTGCAGATTAAAAAAAACTTTGAGAGTTTTGGCGATTAACAAAGATGGCCGACCAAGAAGCATGCTCCAGGATTGAACAGTTATCAAGTTTTTGGTTGCAAACCAGTTGAAATTCATAGGAGAATGTCAACTGTGTATGGTGCCACATGTTTCCGCCAAAAAATGTCTACAAGTGGGCTAAATTGTTTAAAGAAGGACGGAGCAGTGTTGAGGATGAAGACAGGCCTGGGAGGCCTACAGAAGTGAAGTCTCCTGAGGTGATCGAATCAGTCAATGACCTCATTCAGTCTGACAGAAGAACTACTGTGAACTGCTGAGGTAGGTCAAGAAAGACATAAAGAACAAACACAAGAATCATCAGTCAGAAGGAGTTATCTTGCATCATGACAACGCAAGGTATCACACAGCAGATCAAACGGTGCAGACCATCAACGAGCTGGGCTGGGAACTGCTCCCTCATCCCCCTTACAGCCCAAACCTTGCCCCTTCAGACTTTCACCTGTTTGGTCCCTTGAAAGCGTTCACGAGAGGCACGAAGTTTAAAAGCGATGATGAAGTCAAAAATG